GACTAAGGGTGGAATCGACTAAACAAGAGTAAATATTAATCTCGGAATAAATCGTCAGTTTTTACATAATATGTTCCATATTGTAACTGTCAATGTACCAGTTAAACCAGGAGTTACTCTCGGATAAAAGTTTGGTTGAATCGGGCCTAACTCGGAGACCAAACCATTATTCTAATTCAAGTCAGATTCACGCTTCGATGCTTCTCAGCATTTTTCGTTCACCCCCGCGAAACACAATAAATAGGGATTAACGTGCGAACGGTGACAAAGGAGTTAACTCACAAAGGAAATAAAATTTTCGCGTACAAAGCTATTTTCCGAGGAATAATAGAGTGTAAGAATTGGGATATCCCTCAAAGGAAAGCAGATGTTTATTAGAACAAGGTGTTGACGCGTTCAAAGATTTCTTTGTACTGCTCCTTTTTGTGTATCGATATAGGCAGATTATGTATATTTAGAATATCTACTTGTTCATTCATTATGAGTAGGCGCACACCGTTGATTTTTAGTTGGCCGATAGTTTAGTCGGGCAGTTGATCAGTATGGGCATGTATGGGAGTGCGCACACTACGCCGATTCGATTTGGCCGATTCTTCATACAAATTAAAATCGGGCACAACTATCGGCCAACTAAAAATCAACGGTGTGCGCCTACTCTTGATACTGGACTACAAGGCGGGGTGAAATATTATCGAGGTACATAATTAAAAAAACCTACAATATCTCATTATCATCATTTCAGCCACAGGACATCCACTGCTGAACATAGGCCTCCCCCAATGATTTAAATTTCGCCCGGTTGGTAGCGGCCTGCATCCAGCGCCTTTCTGCTACCTTTATGAGGTCGTCGGTCCACCTTGTGTGGACGTCTCACGGTGCGTTTATATCTAAATAGCTACTATAAAGCATATATTTTGTAAGTACTCTTACGTGTTCGCTATATGTTATTATCAGCATTGAAAAAAAGGTGTAATGGCCAGACAGAAAAAAGAAATAACTGGGAATTAAGAACGAGACGAGATATTGAAGTTCAGAATCAACAGAAAGTTTGCAATACGCAAGAAATGTGAGAAATAAAGTACGAAGGAGTAGGAATGGAATATGATGGACTTATGTGAAAACCATTCCAATTCCGACACAAAGTTGAGCTTAACCATTTGGCTTAACTCCAAAGTTCGCCGCTAAGCCGGATGTTTTCAAAGCTCCCACTTTTATAGCATGTTTGTTTACGGGCTAATAGCAGAACACTATCGGTTTTCTATAAAACGCAGCAGCAACGGGTTTACGGTTTATTTTTATAACGACCCGTGGCTTTCCGCGTTCGTTGTTTATTGTTGTAGGCGAGTGTGTTAATTACCTATTATCGCATATATTTCTACAAGCTGAGTAAATGTTTATATAAATTCGCTATTGTTTATATAAGTAATGAGGGAAATTGGAACAAGAATTCAAAAAATTCACAATACAATTGATACCACGAATTTTGCAGGTGCAGTAACTACATAGCTCTTCTAAAAGTGGACTATTTCCACATCTAGTTCCCGCATTCCTACAATTTCTATGTAGCTAGGAACTACAGCTTGAATTCCAATGAAAATCCAACAAGTAAATGCAAGTTATTTTAAGGTATTTGAAAAATGTATTGAGCTACCTCATCAAGGGATCTGCGTTTTAAGTAATTTTAAACAGATTGTGACAACTATTCAATTTTGGTTGTTTTGATGCATAAGAAAATTAAATGTACCCTATTTTCTGCAAACACGAAATGGGGCCTCAAGACAATTTTTATAAGATCGCCTTTTATAGGAACCTAAAGGAGATTTATTCCTAAGAGTCCCATTAAATTACCGTCTCAACTTGATATGTGGAAATCACGCCATTATAACGGCTCATTGGATTCGATTCGCCAAATGCTTTTACCACCTACGTATGAAGTGTGGGCGGTTACGAGTTTCTTAATACCTAAAATTATTGAGAATAAAATATGAAAATATCTACCGTATTTGCAGAAAAGATCTCGAGTCCCAAAACAGTGAACACGGACCGGAAAAACTAATAAAACTCATTTAATTTTTGCAAGTACGCTTTTAAAAAGCACTTTTACAATTAAAACGCAATGTAACCGAATCAGTGGACCGACGATCTAGTGAATGTCGCGGGAAACACCTGGATGCGGGCAGCGCTTGGGTAATTGTAGTGACTGAGTTTGTTCCGGCGTTTCTTTTCAGCACTTGCCATATGCTTGTCTCGAAGCGCTGGTAGGGCCCAAAAGATAAGGAGACATTTAAAGTGCTACCTACCTTTTTTATTTACTATATTTTTACGTTCATAAGTGCCACTTGTGGTCCAAATTGAATAAAATATTTTTGATTTTGATTTTGATTGTGGAAACCTTGCAGAATGTCACCAAATATTGAATCATCCAAAGAAAGTAGGTGCATATGACACACACACTGCATTGCAGAGGGATATTGGATATTCAATACATAAATTCTTCTATCATACGCTACGGCAAAATGTTTTTACTACTAAATGGAATTCGATTCACTGAAGCTTTGGTTCCCCGGACGGAAGCGTTTTTAGATTTTCAGTGAAGCGAGTGGGCGATGCGCCTGATGAAAAGTGGCACGTGGCGACAGAAGCACGAGTAGATGGTAAAAGCATCTAAAGGTCAAAGCTTTACTTTCTTAAGTGAATGCATCGGTAAATTAACCTGAATAATCCTGAATGCGACAGGTGTGTTCCAAATCATTGCTTGAAGTTAAATGTTCCTAACTTTTTAACTAATAATTTCATTGAGGTTTTGATCCCTATTAAGATCAACTATTTACTGTATTGCTTTAATTTTGAATAACATTATAGTGACCTCAACTGTGTCTGCCATAATTATAAATATTAGCATTATATTTTTAACTTTAGCAATTGTGTTATAAATTCAGTGAAAAAACATTTATTAAACACTACATTTGGCTAAAAAAGTTTGTTTTATAAAATCCGCGCGCTCAAACATAAATCGCAACGCACACAGAAAGCTTTCATAAAATATTTCCAATAACAACTAATGCAAATATTTTCCATTTTCCCACAACTCGTGCTACAATCCTAAGTGCACTGTTAAACCGATTTCCGCTTCACAAAGCCTTTCAACCGCACTCGCTGCGTGACGTAAGATTGATACCAACAATCGCTCCCGATATTAAAGTTGGCATAAATCAAATATCAAATTCTGCCTTCAATAAATCACGGCACATTTACATAAACGTGTTTGCTTTTCATTGTAAGGAATATGACATTTACATTACAAACGATATCAGTTTAAAAGGATGAATGCCGTATGAATAAACGATTATTTGGCTAAATTATGTAGATACCTACTAGACGTTAAGGACGACGAGTAAACGCTTTTTATTTAAATATAAAAAAATGATTCTGTAGTTTCATAATGACAATAATTTACACAAAAAAAAAATCCAAGTAGGTACTAAGTATGATTCAGCATAGTACGATTCACGCAACATAAAATATGTACTACTAGGCACCTCCCGCGACCTTCACTAGTGTTCCGGCTCGTGGTCGCCACTCAAGAACTTTCCTGCCCCAGCGGCCATCAGCTCTACGAGTTATGTGCCCCGCCCACTGCCACTTGATTTTAGCGATTCTGCGGGCTATGTCAGTCACTCTGGTTCTCCTGCCACCTGGATGCGAGCGGCGCAGGACCGGTCTTTGTAGAAATCCTTTGGGGAGGCCTTTGTCCAGCAGTGGACGTCTCTCGGCTGAAACGAACGAATGGACTAACTTCTCTACATGTTGATATCTATAATAATCTTGCTTGCAGGATACTTGCATTTCTATCAAACTTTTTGTGTTATTAAAGTCAAAAGTAGGTTACGTGCGTGGAACTCTACTAGCATAACCCAGTTTGGTTTATATGCAACTTACACTTTAACCTTGTTCCCCGAAGTCGTTATATGTGCTACAGTCAAAACTCATAATCGGTCAAAACCACTTTTGACTGCAAAAATCAGTCCAAAGTGGTTTTGAGTGATGCTCTTGGTCAATATCACTTTTGACTGATTTGTCCAGTCAACAACAACAATAACACTTTTTATGAATTTCGACTGATTGGTAAAATTTTATATCGGGTGAAACCACGTTTTGACAGATTTTTTGAACTGAAAAGTGTTTTTGACTAACGCCCTTGGTCACTGGGACATCAGTCAAAAGTAATATTGACCAAGGGCATCAGTAGAAATCACTTTTGACTGATTTTTGCAGTCAATAGTGGTTTTGACCGATTATAAGTTTTGGCTGTGACATGCAAGCGACTGTAAAACTGGTGACGATCTCCCGAATCTGAACTGTTCACTGTTTTATGCAACACTTGAGAATTTATGCCATGGCTTGGCTTTGATCGGTGCGAAGCGCTGACTGCGAAGTTTAAAGATCGTCCGAAGATGCTTCCGAAAAGAATACGTCCTTGGAATTTAAATAGTGTGGAAACTGAAGTAAGTACTTACCAATATTTTATAGGAATATTTCGCATATAAAATGAAATTACATTACATTGGAAAACTTGTTATTTATCGGTTATATTAAATACGTTTTAAACGAGTAAAAAATATGCCCGACTCTATCCTTAGGTATTTTTTCTCACTAATTTCCTAAAACTGTGAAAGTACGAGTTACTACTAAACATAATATAAAAGGACAAATACATTGCAAAGTGTCGTGGAAGAATTTATTGAAAAGCCCAAACGGACACGATATAAAGTGACCTTCCCTAAACAAACCCAAAACTTGCTACAATATCAAAATCAGTCCGTTTATCATTCGGCGAATTACACAAACACATTACGACCAAATGCGTCCACAAACACAAAGCTTAAACTACAGCTTACTAAAGACAGGACAGACGATATCTCAAATGCTTTGTTTACGTTCGCAGCTTCAGTTACGGACGTTTTTCAGTGCGCGAACGGACGTGGTGGGAACCGCACGCCGCCCGCCCTACGTCGCTCGTCTTTGATACGGACGTAACTCTAAACTAAACAAAAAAACATCGTGCAAGTGGTACAGTTTGTGTTTCATGAATGTGTGCAACGTTGATGCGTTTGTTTTTTAATGAATGATACTTCTGTGGATTTGGAATCTGTGTTTTGGTAACGAGCTCGATGTCCCTTTTGAATGCTTTTGGTAAGTGGTAATTAGTTTTATAGTTTTAATGATAGTTTGGCTAATTTTGATGACTATTTAATTAATTATGTGTATTTGTATACTAATCTCCATGGTGATCCAGCTGTATCTAATCCTCGAGTGCTGAATTCGTGGAATTATAGTATTTTGATATCCAAATGATAACGGTTACGATCTGTCGATTTATCAAAGCTCATAATGAAATAAAAACACATAGAAAGATATGAAATCAAAGTGTATTAGGTATAAATAATTATCTACCTATTAACAAATACTTTCATGATCAAAATCTTTTTTAGTTTTTATCAAGCTCCTATTCAAATCGAAAAAGCATCAAATGACAGAACTTATTAATAATTCTTAATATAGTTCTGAAGAAAACTTTTTACCTGCATTATTTTTTTAACAAACGTTCTCTACTTTAAGTAAATAAACGAATGTGTAGCTTTGTGCTATGCAACCAACACTACCCATCCATCTTTATTCACCTCTTTTGTATTTTGAAACAAAATACAACGTGAAGTAGTGTTTTCCTTACCCTCGTTGCCATCCCAAACCTTTTCCAAATAAGTCAATAAGGATAAAGCTTAAAAAATCACTACCGAAAATATTATTGGGAACACTGACATATTGCAATCATGAGTAGACAATTTTGATACATTTTTCGGCTAATATTGAAGGGGAAATGTTATTTGATGTTACTGTGACAAAGGAAATAAGTCTTTGTTTAACAGCCTAGCTAGTAAATGATAAACATTTCTGAAGCGTAACAATGACATAAATATTACGAGTAGACTAATTATCATGTCATTTCTTCCTTCGGTAATGATACAATTTATATCACATCATTATTAACCGTCATTCTTTAATTCTAACCACCAATCTGGGGGCACGGCAGTGCCCCCACCAAGTCGAGCAAACAAGCGGCACGGCCGTACCATCCTTTTCTCGAAGCAATTCAGGCTATTTTCGACTGCCTGTAACTTCGTTGTGGATAAAACTAGAAGGCTGAATGATTAGAAAATATATTGACTTGGCCATCGCATGAAAACACGTGTAAATTAAATTATTTAGTGCGATGGCCAAGTCAATAATTTATGTAAAACGTTAAAGATTTCCTGGCCTGGACTTGGTATTACATGGATCTCACAACTTTTTACCGTAGAACAACTGAGTTGCGAGACTTGGTTTTTTTGACAAGTATTGTTTTTGATGGGATACAAAAGTGTCTGGTCCTCTTGGATCTGTTGATAAATATTATGTCAGCATATCAGACTATACTCTTACATCTTTGTCGCAAAATAACATCTAATACCACCCCATAAGATGCCGTAGTATTTGTTAGATGTACTACCATTAATTTCTGTTTGGGATAAAAACCTTTGACCTCATTACCCAACACGAATCGGAGCGGGGTCGACACTAAAATTAATTAACATCGAGAGCTAATGACGACACCCGTGGATACGTAATGCGTATTAAGTCATCCGTTGTCCTGATTGGGTAATAAATCCTGGACCGCAGGGAACGCGTGTTTCTCAATTAACAACTCCGGAGGGTAGGTTGGTAACTCTTTCCTGTGTAGTAAGAGAGTGAGGCTCTTTAGACAGGGAGTTTTATGGTTATTTCTCGGTGGGACACACATTGTTTAATCAATCTATGTATTTATTTCCATCACTGTTACTACCTGTTATCCCGTTAATCCCTCGTGGTAAGCTAAATATGCTTGTGTTACGAGTGGGTTCACCACAAATACCACAATAGTCGAGCGGTGGCGGGGATCGAACCCGCGTTCCTCGGATCACGAGTCGGCCTGACACCTTCACCATTCGGCTATCGGCTAAATTAGTTTCTCCTTTTGTATGTTCGATTAAGACACTTTAAACACGCTACACAAATATAAAATCAATTTGATAGGTAAGCTTTCCTGTTTTACGCAGAATGAATAACTCAAAGATTTTGGGTCATTACCTGTTTTCAGGAAAATTATTTTCGTGGAAGGGAATATAATTCAGGCATAAAGAAGTTAAATTCAAAGCTTTGCATTGTTTATCATTACGCCATTCCTTTAATGGAATCAAATAATGATGAATTTTGAGCACAAATTATTAAAATGCCCCGCCCGTATTCATTTAAAAATGGTGTTCATAGGAATTCATTTGTTTAGCGAATCTTCGCATAGGAATGTTGACAGATATACTAAAATATTAGTGATTTGCAGGGGCTCGAGTTTTTGTGAATATAAGGGTTTAAAAAATATGAAACATTGTTTCATACACTACATTTGGCAGACCCATAATGGAAAGTTAACCACACGAATGACACGCGTGGTTGTATCCAACCGCATACCCCACAGCCTTGTTAACGTCCCAATTGTCACTTTTACCCGAAAAGAGCGTGTATTTATCTGAATCTCAGCTCGTCGGTCACGTACCGAGCAGCAACAAATATGGGCCCTTACGGGACGCAATTTGGGATACTTGTGTTCACATATGGGACGCCTCATTTGGGTGTGCTTGGTGTTGCGATACGTGACGAAAAAGGGGAAACTCTGATTTAGTATAAAGGGTGTGCGAAAACAGAACGTGTTTTCTTTTACGTAATTGAATGGTGTAACAAGGGTCTTCGTGGAAAGCAATAATGGCGTAGACATTAATCATGGACGTTTCTACTGAATGCTATATTTGGCCGCAAAACATGTCCGAATATTCTTGGCAACGCGACAGTCAAAGTCAAAGTTGGGGCTAAGTCAAAATTGTCGACCCAACGCAATTCAGGTATTCGATTAATACTTGCTAGTTTCTTGGTCACTGTCAGTATTTCCAAGAGCAGTAGAAGATAGAAGGTATGTATATGTACACATATACATGAAAGTAATATTTACGAACTTGCAAACTAAGCTAATTTCATACCTAACTTGCGAAGATTGCGTGTAGAGCAATAGGCAAAGGCTTGTATTTTAAACTGTCCTTACACGTGCCGTTTTAAAAAAAGAGAATAAAATAAAAAGAGTGACGGCCCGAGGCGTTGATAATTGGCCACCGCGCTGCTCCCAACGGGTCGGGATTTATCGCCCAATCAGGAAGAGACGGGCGACTTAATACATTATGTATAAACAGCTCTGGTGCTTTTCAAGATTTTCCTCGAATTAGAGAAAATGCGTCTTAATCATATAAGGGTCGAGGAGTTCAATTATTACCAAATTGATTGAAGAGGGTTTGTAATGGCTTCTGAGAAGTGAAAATCTTTGCCAATGATTAAAAACTCCTAAATTCTAACCTTATTTTCTATCCATTATCTTTTAACAAACAAAATTGTTCGGGGGCACCTTACATATTTTTAATATCATCATTGTTTTAATTATAAAGAGGCAAACGAACTTGTTTCTGACTGATGATAATAAATCGATCACTGCATTGCCATCTACAGAAGACTTGCATAATTAATGCGTTTGCCTTCAAACCTTTTAAAAACTGAACGCTGTTTTCTTAAAGTGGTTTTACTTATTCACTACAAACCCTGATTTGATTTTTTCTCCGCTGTTTGGTAAGTTGCCGGCTAAACAATATTTTTTTTTTAAATTCAAAGAACGTGCATTCGCGTGAACATTTCGAATTGAATGAAATGTCGTAGCTACATAATACAAATTACATTTCCATTCTGTGCAGCTCGTGTAGTTGCATTTCGAGCAAAATTTAATAACTCACGTCCTAAGAGTACTTCTTATTTTTGCTGTTATGTGTTACAATTTTCGCCAGTTGATGAAGCAAAGCAAGCAAGCAAGTAAGCGTTTTGAACGATCTATTTTAATATTTATGTAAATGATGTTCTTAAGTGACTATTGCCCGTATTCACAAACATTACTGTGCGGTCTCATAGTGCGCGTGGACGCACAGGGTGACACACGAACCAATCACAGAGTTCTATTCAACGCTGTGCGTTCGATTTGGTTTCACTTAAGCACGCATCGTTTGTGAATACGGGTGTATGTCTTTTTTGAGCATTTTTTTCTTTAACTATATCCATAACCTCTTTGTATCTGGGTAATTTCTTCGACCTACTTGCAAAGCCAAGGCCGATCTAAACGAGCAGGCAACTATCCTATGCATGGTAATGACTCAATTCAGCTTAATTACTATGCATTTAGCGCATTAATGCGAAGTTTACGGCTCTATTGTAATGCGTTTTCAGCTATAAAGCGGGTTCTGGAATGGATTGCTTGGTACAATCGGCTTATAGATAAGCATCTAGATCATTGGTTCCCAAAGTGGGGGGGGCGCCCCCCAGGGGGGGCGTAAAGACCTTTAAAGGAGGGCGCGGGTTATCTGTAAAAAACCTGCGACCGCTGAGAGAATGCATTCCAGACTGCTCGATACGACTAATAAATAATCTTGACTGGAGGAGGGGGGGCGCGGAATTTTTTGTATGGTCGAAAGGGGGCTCGTCTCAAATAAGTTTGGGAATCAATGATCTAGATAGACTAAGTAGAATAGCGTTTGTAAGTCGACAGCATAATAACCCACATAAGTACTAAGACATAAGTTGAAAATCCATATTTTGTAGTAGAGTGATGTCCTCTACCACAAAATGACAAATGTCTAGGACTGTCCTGTCCTTACGAGTAGGTCTACATAAATATGTATAAGGCAAGAGTAACCGTAATAGACACATCCACATCACAGATGTGGCATCAATTCGGTCTTTTTTTACAAATCTTTTTTATGAAATCATATGGGGTGAAGCGTCAATCCGGACGCTTCAGCGGAAAATATTGAAAGAAAAACTCTTTCAGTGTGTCAATGCTGAGAGCGTTGATACATGGCATGTTGTTATTCAATAACATTAAACCAAATGAGAGTGAATTGTATTTTGGATTTCTTTTGTGAGTTACCTACTTCTTTATTTTATTTCAAGAATTCACTTAAAATGTAGATGTAGAATGCATAATTTCTCTTATTGAAACCTCTCACAAAACATTTGAAAAGTTTTATTAGTACTCG